AGAGAGTAATTTTAATCTATAGGAGTTATGGATCCAAATCTATTGACTAAAATGGATATAATAGGAGTGGTTTAGAATATTTAAACCCTACATTAATGATTTTATGTCTGGTTAGTTAGGTAGAGTAATTAATATCTAAAAATTACAATAAATGAGATTATTAGGAGAGTTTGATACTTATTAATAGTGGTTAGATGACTTAATGATGATAATGTGAGTTAATGAAACTTAATAAACCCATTAGGTATGAATAGGTAGTAAATTATAGGATTGATAGAGTGAAGAATGTGGAGTTTAATGTGGATAAATTATTAAGAATGAGATGATGATGATGACAATCTTGTTGAATGTGTGTAGAGTGACTCTTTTAGCACTATTCAAGCTTGAAGAAGCTCTAAAAATGATTAGTGTGAGGGGTAAGATTTTGACCTCTCAAAGGTTTGAGGTAACCGAGGAAAACTTATTTTATATAATTAAATATTAATTGGTTATTTGTGTAGTATGGTTGATGGTTTGAACTATTGATGCAATTTGGCAATGTGTTTAACTTGTGAAATGATTTTAGAAATGCAAATCTCTTACATGCCACGTATTGTGCTTGATGTTTTGGTTGATGGCATGTTGTAGTGAAAGTAATAAAATATGATATTTTGAAAATGCACTATATACGGTATATTTGTTGTGGAGTTATTAGGAGTGAGAAACTAATGTAAATTTGTGATGGAAATGTGAATTAGGTCATATTTGCATATTATATGTGACATATACATAGTATAATCATTGGTAGGAGTTTGCTTAGGGAAAGGAGTAGTTGGTAAATCCATGTAGCATTGACAATGACCGTTAGAATCAAGAACTTGCCTTGGCATCGACCGTTGAAATCGAGAGATAGCCCTTGTCCTATAGTTGATTCGAGACTATCCTACTTGTTCTATGAGGGACTCAAACTTAATTAGTTTCCACTAGTTTATAAGGTGGCTAGATTAGGAGTACGACACCATATGGTTATTAGTATTAAAGGAAACCAGATTACACAAGTGAATAAGTTAATCTTAGCCTGGTAGCTCTTATCAAGTAGAAGGTTGGGTTAGTCCGTGAAGGACGTAGCCACTGAATAGCCACTGGTTTCACATCGAAGGTAACAAGAGGGTATAAGGTTGGCATTTGATCATGCATTTAAATTTGACCATATGATTATTATTATTGTGGTCCAGTATGTGTTAGAGGTGCATGGTTGGTATTATTGTGACCCCATGATGTGCATTGTCATTTATGTGGTTATATGTGCATTAGGCCCGGTCACATGGTTGCTAGTATTGTGAACTATGACTATATTCATCGTATGTGCTATATTGTGTGATTTTACCTTTTTGCATCTGTTTTTAATTAATATGCAATTATATAGATTATGTGAAACTTTGTTATTAAGTAGTTGTACTCACCCCTCAATTCTCAATATTTTCAAGGCCTAGCTTATTGAATCAAGTTGGGGAAAACACACAGAGGCATACGATTTATAGAGTAATCCTTTTGCATACCTCTCCTTATTGTTTTTTATATATAAATGTTAATACAATTGCCAATTAGGGATCACATGATTATTTTTCATACTACTTACATTATTATAGCATACAATTTGTGTATTTTGTGCCTTAAGTTAGTGAGTTTTTGTTGTAACCCTGTATAGAACCAAAATACTTGTGTAAGTAGGAATATGTGTATTTTGAATGAATTTGGAATGAAAATGGTTATTTTGTGCAAAGTTTTCCTTCCTTTTATGTTTTATGAATTTGGGGTTGAGTAGTGATTTTACATTATATGAGCATCTGGTTGAGTGTCGTGTATTACACTAGTCCTTAAGAGTCCATTGAATGTAGTTGAGTGGTCGGTATAGGCTTATGACACTTGTGTGTAAGTTTGGACACCCATGTGGTGAGTTTTTGTGAAAAAGTAATGAAAATAGGTTTAGGTGTTCAACTCTTTGTAGAAAATGAATTTAGAGTTTAAAACTATATCATTAGCTAGAGTTAGGATAAAGCTCTGTGTAGACACCAAAATCACCTCAATTAAATATCGGACAAAGATTTAGGACGCATTAAAAGTTCACTCCTATTACTGTCAAATGACAGTAGCTATTTGTTGTTAAATTGTGTGCAATGCGCCATGACGCACGATATAGAGAAGATTTGAGTTGTGGTACATTGTGCCTTAGTTGTAGCGCATGTCACGTTAATTAAAGTTTTAAGTTTTAAATCTTACGTTTTGGGTCCTAATCAATTTTCAAGCTTTCGCATTATTTTAAAACTCTGATTTGAGTATAATAAGTGTTTGGAAGAGATTAAATTGCTAAATTTTAGAATCCTATTGTAAATTATTTGAGAATTTTTCTCTTATTTATGAATATATGAAAAAATTGATAATCCTTAGTGGGTTTTGCCCTTTGATTATCTCGATTGTGGAGTTAATGATGTTTAATAGGTAAGGATATTACAATGAAAGTGTGATATAATTTTAAATTAATATATTCATTTATCATGTGACAAGACTTGAATGCCCTTGCCTAAAAAATCCAACCCACCATCCTGTGGGTTAGCCTATAACTAGTATTCCTAATACTAGCTACAACTACACCCCAAACAATTATGTCAGCCCTTTTGCTCATCTTCCTTGATGGCCTTAAGCCCTTAGCCTATGAAATGTTTGAGACTGAAGAAAGACTTCTCAAAGACATAGCTTAAGGCTTTGAGCTCTCATGTGAGAGAGAGAGAGAAGAGATAGAGAGAGAAAGATAGGAAGGGGTAGGATTTATGGGGGGAGAGAGAGAGTTACAACTAAGAAGAGGACGAAAGAATGAAGTATTGGTTGAGGTTAGGAAGGAGAGTTGTTAGAGTAAGATGGAGAAGCCTCATCATCAGGGGAGGAGTCACTCCTAGCCAAATATCTCACTGGCTTGCTTAATCACTCGCCATCGTCAAAGGAGTCATCGAAAGTAGGTGATTGAAGATTATGTAGTGGCAATGTCATTGGCCAAGGATTGTCACATCCTTCATGGTGTCACCATTAGTGATTGATAATGAACACTTATAGTCTTGCACACCTTTAGTCAAACATGACAAGAAAAGCTTAGGGGGCAAAGATGGAAAATAAAGAAGGGAGTAAGGAACTGAGCTCCATTGTTTTTTATGGAAACTAACTTCATTGGAGAATTGGCTTCCATTATACCAAACACACAAAAATATTGATTTTAGTTTCACTTCCACTTCTCTCTCTAATTATTTGCTACTGAACATGACATTATTAGAAACAAAATTTACAAAGGGCATTGGCATTGCTTTTGAATTTTGTACAACATGCAACCTAATCAATCATTCATTTAAGACCTGTTTGGTTTAATTACAAACAATTCAACTAATGCAATGCAATATTGATTACCATGACTTTCTTTAGTATGTTTTTAGGAATGAGATAGTTTTTATATTTAATTAAATAAGTGTAAAAATAAAAAGATCAAAATAGCCACATTAAAAAAAATCCCCTTGCCTCCTCTCTTCTTTCCTCATTAGCAAATCAAAGAACCAAGTATGAATGGAAGTTTTAAAAATCAAATTGACATAAATGGATGAATGAAATGAATCTACATATACATCTTCACTTATTAATTATTAATAACTTTGACATGTACTTATATTTGTGCATAGAATCTGCACATAGATCTAATATGTATCTCCACATGTTCACTTTGAACAAGAGTAATAATAGAAATGAACTTATGAACATATGACAAACTAGATCTGCAAACTTAAAGACTTAAATGAACTCAAAAAGGGAAAACCATATTGACATAGAAGGAGATTAAATTAGGAATGGAGATCTATATCTTCATGGATAGAGATTACTTTGTCGTGCTTGTCAAACTCTTTATTCATTGTCATGCTCACTTAATATTCAAAGAGTGGGGGAAATTGAAGAAGAAATTATTGTCTAGTTTAGGTGAGGAAGAAAGAAGATGATGGATATAAAGAGGTGTTGCTAGTGGCAAAGGTAGTAGCAGTGATAATGAAGTAGTAGATGCTGGTAAGCAAGGAGGAAGGAGTGGTGGTGGTGGTGCATTGGAGGTGGTAGGTGATGAGGCAAGAGGAATAAAGAAGACTGAGTGTAAGATGACAAATGAATTGAGAGTAAATATGATGTTTCCAAATATGCAATGAATGATAATAAGGATTCATGAGGGAGGAGACATGAATGGATATTATTATTTTTATTTTTTTGGGTAATCATTTGTCATCACTATCATGGTAAATACCATTACAAGGCTAAAGAGCAACCAAAAACCCTTCCTCTTGATAATGTAATGTTGATTACCACAGCAGACATTTAATGTATTGAATCAAATGGGCTTTTTAGTATAAAATATAAAGTATAACAACCCATATTATTAATAAACTTTAAATAATATGAATTTCATAATTTATGAAATATATGGGGAGGCATATTGTAAAATTTATTGATAAATATTTTGTATTATTAAGGTAAAAAAAGAGAGTATGGGGAACAAATAGAATCTTACATTTTTACTTAAATAAAGAAAAATAGTGTTAAGTGTAATTTTGTTCGTAAACAATTTTTAAAAGAACAACGCACTCATCATAGCAATATTCCTGATAAATTAATTAAATTAGAGTAATATTACTCTTGACAATAATAAATAATAAACATTATCAATGTCCCTCTTAAATTAATTAAATTAATGTTATCCCTATTTTTAAAAAACGATAAATGTCTGAATGTTTATTGTCTTTCAATGGTAGAAGTAACATTGTGGACGTTTATTATATTTTTACCATGAGGGCAACTTTAATTAATTTAGGGAGATATTTTTACTATTAGTGCACTGCTTTTTTTGAGAATACTAGTCGTGGGGGGTGGCTTAACCAAAAAAAAAAAAAAAAAGAACAAAACTCAAGTAAACAAATAATTTTGAAAAATCAAAATCTTGATGGGCAAATATTCGCAGGTGAGATCGTATTTCTCCCGTTGATGTAATCGTTGTTCCGAAGCTCTCAGTCCCACCCAACTAAGCGAGGGAGATTGATTCAATAAACGATACATCTTCGAGCCCTTTCGATTCTCCCCGCGACAGCTTCGAATTCGTCCTGCTTCGTGGAGTTTATTTTATAGAAGGGCTTATTGAATCGACAATTCTTGGTCTTAGATTTGGCCATCTGCTCGTCTTCTCTGGAGAATTTTCCTTTTCGTCCTTGGTTTTCGGACTATTTTACCGGCGCGAGCATCAGGTACCGGTGGTATTTGTGAAGTGTTGAAACTTTCACTTGCATAAAATGATCAGCATTCTGTTAACGATTTAGTGGTGATTTTTTCACACCTTGTAGATTAGAGCCAACCTGAAATTTCTCTCTTTCTCTTTCCTTGTTGGATTCGTTCTGATTCACTTGGCCTCCAACTGGTTAGGATCCAAAGCGAGAGCTATCTCAAACTGGGTGGGAGAGTCTCTTGAACTTATGAACCCCATTTTTCTTGTAAGGCTTATAACAATTTCTTCCCATCAAATTTTGTCTTGTTGATTTAAGAAGGCATTGTAGGTTGTAGCACACACTTTCTATTCCACTTACCATGTCCAGTAGTGTGGATTTTCCCACGAAAAACCCATAACCTTTTTTCATGTTTTCTTTCCGTGCAAGGTCCACTAGTGCCTTACGAGGATCAAGAGCTTCCTTAAATTTATGCTCCTTTCAGTTATGACAAAATTCTTGACGATGTCACTCACTCATATAGGATGCTATCTATGATTGGATCTTGTTCTTTTGGTTGAGTCTCCTATTCAATGGCCTATTGGTTTTTAACAGTACAGCTTCATTAAATATATTCTTCTTAATGTTATGACACAATTCTTGACAATGTCACTCACATATATGACGATATTGATGATTGGATCGATCTTGTTCTTTTGGTTGAGTCTTTAACTGAATGGTGCATTGGTTTTTAACAGTACAGTCATGCAGAGCCAGCTTTTGTGTAGTGGATGTAGGAACATATTGCTTTATCCCAGAGGGGCAACCAATGTTTGTTGTGCATTGTGCAACGCAGTTACCTCCGTTCCTCCACCTGGTAAGCTCCTTTTCCTTTGTTATTATCTCAAAGTGAGGAGTATTTACTTGCTACATACTTAGGTTACTGGTTACGAAGCGTAAATTGTAAAATAGAAGTAATAATGTGGCTTGCATTTAGATTTTCACTATTGACCACAGATTCATGTTTTTGTGAAGATGAGAAAAATAAAGAAAATAGACTGTTATTGCCAAAATATTATTTATAATGGTTAGTGAAATCTGTCTATACAATGATTCTATACTAATTACTCATAAATATATGAATATTCTCTAACAACTTGGACACGTTTATAATCATTTGGTCATAGAGACTCCTATATCAAGGACTATTTTAACCCAAACCATTAAGCTATCAAGTGACAACTCATGAATAATAATCTCTTAGAAAGAAGAATGCTTAATTTTTTTAGGGTGTTTCATTGTTCCTATGACTTTGAAGCTGTTCTGAGAAAGGTTATTGTTCATGTCGTTTTCTTGGTTTTCTTCTCATGGCAATTTAACGGGGTTGTCATTTCAAAAGAGATTGGGCTGCTTTGCTACATTTATTTACTTGAATTTTTTTAATAAACAAAGTTTCTCAAACTTCTCTTTGAATTTGGTGTTCTTTGTGAGGATGCATTATTCACTTTTCTTCCAAAATAAAATCTTCCTTTTATTTCAAAATATGTTTTACTTTTATTTAAAATATATGTCGTTCACTCTGGAATGCATGGTTGTAGAAACTAGAAATTCACTTTGCAGCCTGTTGGATGAAGCATTTAGATTGGGTCACCCTCTGACTGGATGCTTGTTTGAGTATCTTGATTTTTCAATTATACTTGTAGGAATCGAAATATCTCATCTTTATTGTGGAAGCTGTCAGACATTGCTAATGTTCACACATGGAGCTCCAAGTGTGAAATGTTCTTGCTGTCAAACTGTAAACCTTGCGTCAGGTGCAATACATTTGTATGTTACTAGACGTGTGAGGCTCGGTCACCTCGCATTGATTATGTGGGGAACTACCTAATATAGAAATCTCATACTTGGAGTGATTTTTTGTTTGTGCGCTTGATCATTGAATTTGCTAAACCTGTTAAGTTGTTGATTTTTTCAATTTGTCCTTGCTTATTGCGCTTTGTCTACATTATGGAAAAGAATGACTTTAATTCATGAAGCTGTGGAAGCATCATTTTGATCTTATGTTTTATTAGTGATGATGGAATTTTAAATCTATTGGTTGAGATTCATGCATAAATGTTAAAAGATAGTTATGGGACACTTATTTTTGGTCTAAGCCATGGTGCCATTTTGAAGTATTTATGATCAAGTTCAATGTTTTTTCTTACTGTTTTCTAAAGTATTTTGGGAGTAGTAAGGATCATGAGCATATGCAAGAAGAAGTAGGCGTGACATCTATTAAGGAGAAGATGGTAAAAAATCATTTGAGATGGTTTTGGCATATACAAAGGAGATTGCAGGAGGCCCGAGTGAGGAGAATGGAATAGATAGTCTTGAATTTTATAAAGAGGGATAGAGGAAGAATAAAGAGAATATTTATGGAAGTCGTTAAATGCGGTGTTATATAATTGTAATATTGAAAGGCTAGTTACTGTTAGTTAAATAGCCGTTAGTAGCTATTAAGGGTTAGGTGAGATAATATAGTAATAAGAGGCTCTATATGAGAGGCTGGTTACCTATTCAAACATCATGGATTAGTTTAATTAGAATTACTGTGTATTCTTAGAATCTCTCTCTACCTTTCTATTCTTCTCTCTCTCTCTCTCTCTGTCTCCTCTATTTCTCTCTTCTTTCTCTTTTTCTTCTTTCCAAATTACAATCATACAACATGAGGCCTCTTGGTTAACAATATTTTTAAAAGTTTAGCTATTAATAGAGCACCATGACATCGTGCAATCCATATAACCAGCTCTACCTAGTGGGATGAGACTTGTTGTTGTTGTAAGGATCATGAAGCCCTTTGATGGATGTGTTTTGCAGGCTTGTGGTGTATATGGTTAGAATGGGATGAAGAGTTTCTAGTATAAAGTTCTCTGTTATATAATTGTAGTGTTGAAGGGGGAGTTACTGTTATATAAGTTACTGTTAGTTAGGTTGGGTAGTTACGAGGATTAAGAGCCCATATATACAACAGATACCTTTTGTAACCCTTATGCCTTTGCTATTTCAATGAAATGATCATGCAATTCAGGATTCTCCTTTGTTTTTTCTCTCTTTTCTCTCAACCTCTCTGAAACTCTTTCTCTCTTCTTTGTTCTTTCCTCAATTCCTTCCTGCCTCTCTATTTCTCTCTCTTCTCTTTCGATGTCAGAATTATACTAATATAATGGTGGTATCTAGAGCCAGGCATTCCTTGGCCTTCTCCCTTTAATTGTGATGGTGGATGGTGGTGATAACACGTGCTCAGACCAGAAAAGAAATGGAAGACTGAATCACCAAGATTGAAGAAAATTTAGGAAAAGTTGATACCTTGACCAAATTGGTTGAAGGAATTTCACACAAACTCTAGCGGCTGATGTGAGATAGAGAAGGCGATGACCTACAATAGACCATTGAAGAATGCTTTGGGTCTTTGTGTGAAGCACCCATGGGCAATTTAATGAGGTTATGATACCAAGGGACTTTAGTAGACTACAGCAATGCTTTTGGTTCCATTTCTTGCAAGTTGCAAGTATTTGGCGGACGCATGTATTAAAGGCTTGCATGAAGACTATGTTAGTCTAGTACGTCGCTTTAAACCAAGAATGATGCAAGAAGTGCAGAGCTTGGCATGGATGCAGGAGATTATGTTGCTAAGGCAAGTTGAGAAGAAGGCATCTGTCAATAATAGTATGAACGTGGGTGCTGGAGACAGTACTGAGCCTTTGCACCTCAAATTTGATATAGGTCGAATGGCTCAAGAACAAGGTTTCTCTTCCCTGTCGTTAAACCATGAATGCATCAATGTGCAAGATTCACAAGAAGTTGATAGAACATCAATGAAGAGTTCTCAATGTTTTCTTGACAATGAGCAATCCCCAAATCTCATTGCAGGTGATTCCTTCAATTCCGATGAGTTTAGCATCGTCGGTGCAAAAGGGTTCAGCAAAACAAGTTTCTTTCGTCACTGTGTCTTTTGTCTCTTCCTGTCGAAGCTTGGGTTGGGAGGTACAGAAATTGTCCAAACAGCTTTGTCATGGCGGGTCCCTGTTTTTCCATTGTTAGTGTTGCCTAAGCTTATTCCCCAGAAGTTTGTCACCCTAGGACTACACATTCTGTTGGTGTTGGTCAACTTAGAGCCTTAAAATCTTTACAGTATGGCATGGTGACAAGAGCTCAGGCAACTTTGGTGTTGCAAGGAACATTGTCAAGGACGTTCTGCACTTGTCAAGGCATGGGTTCTCATAGAGTAGGGGCATATGGACAGGTGTTAACTAGGAAGAAGATTTTCAGTTGGGTCTGCACATGTGAAAGCATGGGTGCAAGACAAATACTCTCTAGCTTAAGTGGGTGTAGTCTTAGTGGATGTCAACTATCAGCAATTGTCAATGCATGGGTTCACAGTTCAGTTAACAGGGCCCAAATCATTTGCATGGGCCCAATAACAAAAGGAAATTGTTTATTGGGATTTTATCATTTAATTTCTCCCTACCCACTCATTTGTTTCGATGTGGTACAGAGGATGATTGATCAAAATGCTTTTGGGGTCAGGTTTGAATAAATTAGTTCCATTTATTTAGCATCGAACAATGAAGTGAAATGAACAGTTACCATGAATAGTAGCTTCCAGAAGTTTAATACTCATGTATCAATTTCAGCAAAAATTGCCTCAATTTGTTGTTCTTGACCCTTGAGGGCAAGGGTCTCTTGGGAGGGGGGTATCATTATATGATTGTAATATTGAAAGGGTAGTTACTGTTAATTAGTTATTGTTAGTTAGGTTAGTTGTCAGAAATAGCCATTGGGTGGTTATGATGATTAAGAGCCTATATATACTGGAGATACCTTTTGTAATCCTTATGCTTTTGCTATTCCAATGAAACAATTGTGTTATTCAGGATTCTCCTGTCTCTCTTTATCTTTTCTCTCAACCTCTCTGAAACTCTCTCTTCTCTGTTCTTTCCTAAATTCCATCCAATCTCTCTCTTTCTCTCTATTCTCTCGCTATATTAGAATTATACTGATATAACATTCTTCTGCTAAAACTTCTTTGCAAAAATTATATATATTAGGCCTCCCTTTAGGTATAAACAGACTAATATATCAGAATTATATCAATATAATTCTTTCTAGTAGTAATTCCATCCCCTCCCTCCTAAATTATATTTAATTTATTACAAAATTACCCTCATCTTTCTCGTGCGCTCTCACCCTAAAACTGAAAAACGTAATTTTATTTAATTCAAATCTATTAATTTTATAATTATTCTTAAATAATAATAAAATAAAATCATTTATTCTTTTAGTAAAACTCTCAAATAATGGAATGTTTCATTTTGTTCTACTTCATTGCATTCAATTCCATTAATGGTCATTCATTTTCGCTTCATCATGTACTCTCAAACATACCCTAAAAGAAGTAATGAGGTTCTAGAAGATGTGTTTTGTTTGGTCACCTCCCAAGAAGAAAACGACTGTTGTGTGTTGGTGCGTGATACCTTCAAGACTGGTTCTTGGCTTGTTCCTTCTAATGGTCATCAATTCACTAACAAAGGGGGTGATGGGCAAACCATTGCACGAATGCTGAATTGAACATTAGCTGCAAGGAGGCATGTCAGATACAGAATTGTTGGTGCAGCCTTGCTTAAGCTAGACCCAAAACTCGTTTTCCTGTGTTTGTTGCAGCTTTGACTTACAGCCCATGAGAGTTCTGAAGCGTCAACCTCTTCAGGTTGTTGAAGAGTAGGTCCTTTGTCATTATCCTTTCCACCTTTGCCATTTGTTTTGGATTCTTTACCTCTGTTATCTCTGGCTTTTTTGTTGCTGTTTGCACTGTTTTTTCCACCATTGCTATCTGTTTCTGTTTTTCTGTTGCTGCCATTCTTTCTGTTGTGCCAAGGAATCCCAAGAGTCAAGGTGTATGGGTGAGTGTGTCAAGTGTGGTAGGGAATGGACCCATTGCTTATCATGTTCTAGATTTATTTACAGGCATGGGCTTAGAGAATTGGGACGTGTGGTCATGCATCAGGTAGAAGGAATGATTGTCATATACAGGTCTCTAACTAGGTTGTGTTCCAGTTGTGTGTGGAAAAGTCAATAGCATAGTCGATAATCATATTGTGGGACCCCCCAAAATAGTCATCTTAAGTGAGGAAGAAGAAGAAGAAAAAGGGACAAGGAGGTTGCAGTATGGGCCTAAGGATCTCCTACGTTGGATCAATCTTATAGTACCAAGTCCAAAAAGGCTCAGATAGTCATACCTTCACCATTCAAGAAAATTTTTTCAGGTTTTAAATCCTACGTTCCTCTATTAGTTTCTACAAATTTACCCTACTTTGATTGTACTTAATCCTTGAGGGCAAAGGTAGGGAGTATTGTTATGTAATAATTAATAACTAGGGGAGTGCGAATTAGTTAGGATGTTAGTTAGGTTAGTTAATTAGGTATTAGGGACTATAGCCTATAAAATGAACAAGCGGGTCATTGTAATCAGGTTTTGGAATAATAATGAGTTGAGTCCTTCTCTCCCTCTCTCTTCCCCTTTCCCCTCTTTCCCTCTTTCCCTTCATGCTCTCTCTTGTTGTTATACGGCAGAATGTTTGTTCATGCTCTCTCTTTCCCTTAATCGTTTTGCACTTTTGTTCATGTTTTTGGAGGGTTAAATACTCTGTGGATACGTTGAAATTTATCACCTTGTTTTCTCATAAATACATTCTTTTCAACTAAAATTATATTTATATATATATATATAATAATGTATGAGTTTGATAATTATGTTTATAGGTTTTTTAATTAATATTATAATGAATAGTTATTGTATTAATTAATAATTATTAATAATTAATAAATAAATATAAAATTTAATTTTTTTGCTATGTTTACGAGAATGTAGGAAGTTTATGTGTTGAGATATTCAAACTGCCCATTAGTCTAAGTTTTTCTTTTTGGTCAATGCCTATCATTATATTTTGTCAAGCCATAATAGAAGTGTCTTGTGTGCATAAAATCCTTTTCCTCATGCTCCAAAATATTTGGTGCTTTAATAATGTTGGTTAGCTTGGTTCAAGTTTAATTTTCATGTCATGTCTTTTAAGATGGATTCCTTGTAATATTGTAGTAATTTATGCATTTAATCATATATTTGAATTTGAATTTAGTTGTTTGCTGATATACTGTTGATGGGTTTTGCGTCTGCATCTAAAGCCTCTAACCAACTTGCTCATATACACTGTGGAAACTGCCGGACTACACTCATGTATCCGTATGGTGCTCCATCAGTCAAATGTGCAGTTTGTCACTATATTACTAACAGTGTAAGTATTTATCAGTTATTAGAAGTGTAAATGTTTGCATTAACTTTTCATTCTCAAAGGGATAAAAGCTTTGGGGGGTTTTAGAAAAGAAGTCTGCATTGGCCATATTAAGTTTGTGGCTTCTTAATGTATCAAGGTTTGGTCAGGGTAAACTTGGCTTTGAAGACAGCCAGAATTACAGATGCAGTAATAACTAATAAAGTAATCACAACAGTAGGAAATTGCCTAGATCAACAATGAGCGTTGCCAGACTTCTTGGATATTCTAATGATGCTCATCTTGATATACATATAGCTGGCTAAAATAAGTTGATCGCTGATATTTTGCTTCTTAATGGTACTGGCTTGGTCTGGACAGCATACTCTTTGCATAAATTATTCTAAATCATGCGCTGCTGGTCAGTCGTTGAAAGCATAGCAGCACTGCATTTGGCTTTATCATGAAGATATAATGTTCCTGTGAAAATTTTGTAAAGGAAGTTATAATTCTGGTATCTAGGCTCTATTTCTAGTCCAGTAACAGGGTTGAATGAAGGAACCTTCACTATATTCCTACTTTTGGGGAGAAATGAAGGATGTAACTTACCTCTCTGAAGAATGGGTAAGGACTAAGGACTAAGGACTAGAAAGAAAAATTGGATACAATCTCATTTTTGAGAATTTATAAGGGCAAGGGAATCTTTTATTTGTTTACCAGCTTTGTTCATCAATTTCTACGATATGATTAAAAATCAGTTCAATACTAGCATCCAAATCCTTCACTTTGATAATGGCACAAAATATTTAATCTATCTTGAAGTGTTTTCTTCAGGAACATGGGATTATACATGAAAGTACATGAGTAAATAGTTCGCAGCAAAAGGGGATTTCCGAATAGATGCATTTGTAAATTGCAAGAGTTCTCATTTTCTGGGGCATGCAATTTTGACAGCCACTTATTTAAATAACAGAATGCCAAGCAAACTCTTGTACTTTGACACCCCACTTCAAAAATTAAAGAATACTTATCCAACATCTCACCTTGAAACTTATCTTCCGTAGAGTGTTTGGTTGTTTGTCTTTTGTTCATATTCATCACAGTGCTAAATTAGATCCTGAATTCTGTTTCATGATCACGGTTTTCAGAAACTGAATCTTTAGTGCTGGGATTTCTGGAGACATTAATTTTCCTTCTGGTGTTTCAATATTTTCTGTATTTGGCTTTGGGGGAAGGATGGTGGTGTCATGTGGATATAGTTTAAACTTGAGATAAAATTTTGAAAATATAATATTGGCTTTGAAATTTATATTTTACTCGTGATTTTCAAACCATTTGCTTACTTCACCTCCTCCTCCTTCGTAGACGAGCAATGGAAGAATTCCAATTCCTGTCCCGAGACCTAATGGAACACCCAACTCTGGAACATTGTCTTCTACTCCAATTGTATGCTTTTTTTTTTTTCTTTCTTTTGTTTTTTTTAACTTGTGATTATTCGTAGAATGCATTGGCTGTTTTGTATTCTGTTGTCTAATGAATCTGTATCACAGAGCCAAACTGTCCTGGTTGAAAATCCTATGTCTGTCGATGCAAGTGGGAAACTGGTAAATATTCTTCATCCCTGTACTTTTAAACAAATTCACATGCACACGAAGTTTGACTTTCCTTTTAGCAACAGAATATTTACTTTGAAGTATTCGAATTGTTACAGGTGAGTAATGTGGTCGTTGGCATTACAGCTGATAGGAAATAATGTCGCCATTATTATGCTATGTTTTGAAAGGTCCACAATTCGAGTCATTTTCATAGTGTCAAGTACCTGAAGATAGATTTTCTTTGTGTATATGACGTTGCTCGCTGCATTGTTAAAGCAATCCAAAACCTGTACCTAATATATGGTTTTGACTCGTTTCAAGTATATGTATTTATGTATGATGTATATCGGAGTAAAAGTGTGAAAAGGGCATCAAACTTGTCGTTCTGTGGTTCTTTGATTCGCTATATTTCTGCGTTTGCATCTATAACCAAATGATTTAGTTCATTCGATTATAACTTGAGTTATAAGCCACAAGTGTTTTTTTAGAAGAAAAACTTGGTCTTGTCTACCTATAAAATTCAAAATGAGATACTATTCTAGTGATATTGAGTTTTTCACCATTGAACTCAACCATTATTAATTCTTAATTATGCTTTTGCTATTATGTCTTTGGAAACTGGTAACTACTTGAGTTTCTTGATGATCAGTCAGTTCATGGCAGTTCCTAGTCTTGGGCTTCGGTCAGCGAAATGATTTGTTGACCATGAGGCCATGCAAGCATTTCATTCTAAAGGGACTTTGAATGTGTAATGCAAGTTTCTATCCTTCATGTCCAATGCAACAAAAGACACCGTATTTTATTAATTGCAGATACCTGAGCCATTCAATTTTTTAACCAATCAAAGCCATCCAATTTTTAGTTTGATTTTCGCTTTCTCTTTTTTGGTACAAAAACTTTGTTTGTCCACCGGATCAGTTCAAATGTTAAATGGTCTAGTGTCCACACAATTAATAAAACCTGAGATGAACTTAATGTATAATGGTGGCTTAAGTAAGAGTTGGGAAGTTTATTTTGCAGTAATGGTTTGGCTTCTCTGGTAATGAAGGAATTGCTCACTGTTTGATCCGGAATTTATATGGCCTTGTAATCCTGTGATGTTGATTAGGAATTATGTTGGGGAAGTTTTGGAGGAGTGGCGGTGTGGAAGTGGAATAAAAGGTAGTGTTTGGAGGGAGTTAGCTTGGACTAGACCTGAGATGGGGTGGATCAAATTTAATATTGATGGGGCATCTAAGAGAAACTGGGGATGCTGGCAGTGGTGGTCTATTCAGGGGCCATGAGGGGAAGTGCTTAGGAGGTTTTAGCTGCAAGATTGGTAGTTGCTTACTTGCTTGGCACTTTCAAGCTGAATTATGGGGAGTACTTGCTGGAGTTTTGCTACTTGAGTATATGAATGGAAACTGATTCAGTGATTTTGTAGCAAGATGGCTTGAGGATGCGATTCTATATAGGAAAGAGGCCAACAGAGTAGCTAGAAGGATAGTGAATCTGCTGAAGTGACATTGGAATATGTAAATTGCTCCTACTTATAGGGAAGTGAATTGCTGTGCAGATTGGCTTGCAAATTGGAGTTTCCTTCAGACCAACTTGATTCAGTTGCTGGGTGAGCCTCCTGAAGGTTTATGTCGCCCCGCTTGATTACTGTTTAGTTTCTTTTTGCGTTTTGGTCTTGCACCCTGTTCGTTTACCCAAATAAATAGATAAAACCAGAGAAATGAAGCACATATATTTCCATTAGACATTTAGAATCCATGATAAAGCGGTTTATCTTATTAGGATTTTAGCCCCTGTTGAATAGATGGTTCGGGAGCCAGCCTTTATGCCCTACGGAAATTTGCGAGATCCACTGATTGGGTGGTGAACTTTGCATGTCGGTTTTTATTCCCATCGAATTTTACCAGGTAAATTCTATTTTTCTGTATCAATTCATACTCCTCTATTGAAAAATTTAGCTCTTGAAGCAAATGCATCTTTGTTTTTTGGCATGATATAGTCCATGCAATCGCAATGAGGTTTAGATTGGTTTCTTTTTCTTACCTTCTGTTTTATTAGTCAGTATTTTTTTGGGGACATTTGCAAGTCATTTTGCGAATGATGTATCATAAGAAATTTAAGAAATAAGTTATATTATTCATAAAACTTGTCACAAGTCTTTTATTTTATATAGATATTGATAATTCCGTTAATATTGACAATAGTAATAATAATAACACTTATCTTTTTAGTTTGGGAGAATCACACTAAGGGCTCTCAAAATACAAAAAATTACACTTTAAGCCCAATAAATTCTGATAAGGCATTGCTGGCCCTCTTGTTGTAATTTTTGTTGGGAGAAAAAGTACAATTTTGCCCCTCTCAAAACAAACCAAGCTTGATTTGATTTTTTCCTCCTCTCCTCTCCCTCTCTTTTCCTCTCTGTCTTCCTCTTCCTTCTCATTTGGGTCATGTAGGAACAAGGTTCAAGTCTATCGGTCTGTTAGGATGCCTCAGCTGCATACATCACTGCACTTCCACTTGACACCTATCGTTAATGATAAATGGCTCGTCTCGCCGTGACCTTTTCTTGAATTCTCAAAACTTCTGTCGCTCCATCCCCGTAGGGGCAGAGAACCCATCGCTGTCTCGGCTGTGCTATCGGAGGCTCTGGGGAAGTTGGAATAGGAGAGCACTCATATTGAGGTGGGCTTACTACTTAAATGCTCTCAGCAGTTATTTGCTCTGCACTTGGCTACCCAACGTCTACAGTGGGCACGATAATTGGCACACCAGAGATGCATCCTTCTCGGTCCTCTCATACTAGGGAAAGGTCCTCTCAATGCTCTAATGCCCATATCGGATATGGACCGAACTGTCTCACAACGTTCTGAACCCAGCTCACATACTGTTTTAATGGGTGAACAACCCAACCCTTGGAACATACTACAGCCCCAGGTGGTGAAGAGCCGACATCGAGGTGCCAAACCTTCCCGTCGATGTGAGCTCTTGGGAAAGATCAGCCTGTTATCCCTAAAGTAACTTTTATCCATTGAGCGACAGCCTTTCTACTCGGCACTGTCAGATCACTAAGGCTGACTTTCGTCCCTGCTCGACAGGTGGGTCTTGCAGTCAAGCTCCCTTCTGCCTTTGCACTCAAGGGCCAATCTCTGTCTGGCCCAAGAAACCTTTGCACGCCTCTGTTACCTTTCGGGAAGTCTACGCCCCATAGAAATTATCTACGTGAGACTATCCCTTGGCCTGTAGGTCCTAGCACAAGATTAGAATTCTAGCTCTTCCAGAGTGGTATCTCACTTATGGCTCTAGCCCCCCTGGAAGGAGGCCTTCTTCGCCCTCCATTTAAGCTGTGCAAGAAAGGCCCAAAGCTAATCCTAGGGAATAGTGAAGCTTCATAGGATCTTTCTGTCCAGGTGTAGGTAGTCCGCATCTTCATAGACATGTCTATTTCACCGAGCCTCTCTCCGAGACAGTGCCCAGATCGTTACCCCTTTCGTGCGGATCGGAACTTACCCGACAAGGAATTTCACTACCTTAGGATCGTTATAGTTACGACCACCATTCACCGGAGCTTCGATCACCGGCTCCCCTATCATCAGGTCACTAACTTCCTTGACCTTCCGGCACTGGGCAAGCGTCAGCCCCCATACATGGTCTTACGACTTCACGGAGACCTGTATTTTTGATAAAAAGTCACCCAGGCCTGGTCACTGCGACCCCTTTTATGAGGAGGCACCCTTTCTCCTTAAGTTACTGGGCTATTTTGCCAAGTTCCTTAGAGAGAGTTATCTCGCGCCCCTAGGTATTCTCTACCTACCTACCTGTGTTGGTTTCGGGTACAGGTACCTTTTTGTTGAAGGTCGTTCGAGCTTTTCTTGGTAGTATGGCATAGGTTACTTTAGTGCCATAGCGCCTGGTACTCGAACATTGGCTCGAGGCATTTTCTCTACCCCTTCTTACCCTGAAAAAGCAAGGGCACCTTGTGTCCTTGAACTGATAACCATCTTTCGGCTAACCTAGCCTCCTTCGTCCCTTGGGACCAACAAAAGGGTAGTACAGGAATATTCACCTATTATCTATCAACTATGCCTTTCGGCCTGATCTTAGGCCCTAACTCACCCTCCGTGGATGAACCTTGCAGAGGAACCTTTAGGTTTTCGGGGCATTGGATTCTCACCTATGTTTGTGTTACTCAAGCTGACATTCTCGCTTTCGCTTCGTCACCTATGTTTGTGTTACTCAAGCTGACATTCTCGCTTTCACTTCGTCCACCACTACTTGCTCGGGTCCTTCCCTTTAAGGCGAAAAGCTCCCTTACTGATGCATTTTTACATCCCACAGCTTCGGCAGATCGCTTAGCCTCATTCATCTTCAGCACAAGAGTGCTTGATTAGTGAGCTATTACGCACTCTTTCAAGGGTGGCTGCTTCTAGGCAAACCTCCTGGCTGTCTCTGCACCCCTACCTCCTTTATCACTGAGCGGTCACTTCCCTCCCCTCGGGGCCAAGATCCAGATGAAAACTAGGTGCTCCGTGGCAGTGAGGAGCTCTGAGGCTAGTTTTTCGGAGAACAGCTCCATAATCTTTGTATCCTTGATCTTGCTCTCTAAGCCAGCAGGAAGGGCGGTGTAGGAGTCATCTTCTTGGGAATGGCGTAAAAGTTCTCTTCTCTGGTGATGGGCAGCCCTAGGAACATGAAGATATCCCATAGCGTGAGGGATATATGGCTGAGCTTGAAGATGAAAGCATTGCATCCCGGAGCCCAAAAACTGAGGAGGGCTGTCAGAAGATCCACGGGGACATCAATGTCGGGCAGAGATAGTTGAATTAGGTCGTATAGACCCATCTCCTTCCACAGAGGTGCATGATCTGACTTCAAATGCCTCACCCAGTTGACCCAAGCACGAGGAAACCGGGGGTAATTCCTGAGCTTTCTGCAAGACGACTTGGGGAAGGGCGAGGTCGTCCGGGCTAAGACCAGGTTGCAAGAGAGGTCAATGGCCATAGGTTCGGCTGCGTAGGAGCATTGACATCAGATAGGTCAGGAGAAATCATCAAATATCTAACGTTGCTTTTGTTGGAGATTTGAAAACTCCAAGGTGAAGTGTTGGACAAAAAGGAAGCACAGTTAGAGCACTTTTCAATAAAATAGAAGGGCTAAACACGAGAAGCGAGAAACTTACTAGAAGGCCACTAATTCGTGGAATGACGAACCCTCTTGAAAAAGAAATGAATGAGAATTAAGATAGGAAACCAGGCTAATGGAAAACAGGGTTTTTTTAGACCACAAAATACATACCGTTATGAGCCCGTCTAATTGGTTCATCGAGTTACGGATAGTTGCTAGAGAATCCGACAGACTACTAGTAGAAGTAGAGGAAGGGGTGGTGGTAGAAGAAGCAGACGAGGCCATTTGAAGGTTAGGGTAGGAAGAAATTTTAGTAGACTGAAGACTTGAAGTTCAATAAATGGCAAAAAAAGCAAGAGAAGTGACCATAATCTGAAAACAAGTTTATATCGACAGAGGGCGTTTAGAAATGAAGCGACATTTCAATTTTTTCAAACGTGCCACGTGGCTTATGTTACCATCCATTGGTACGCGGGGGGCATTGTTTGGGCTAAATATGAAACGTCGCTCAAATAGGTCACGAGGCTAGTCAGGCTGAGTAATTGAAACGTCAGGCCCAATATAAATAAAAGAGGCTAGCCCCAAAGCTCAATAAAGTTCACAACACATAAATATGCTGAAATTCCGTTAGCTTCAAATATTAGACCATTGGCATGAAGACACAATCCTAAGTGATGCCAAAATATACACCCGAATGGTTTATTAAAATGGGTTGCTAATGAAAATGAAGAGACCGTGTCATAAGTTTCGCGGGATTCTTGAATCTTCGGTAGAATGTGCTAAGTTTCAAAGAAAAGGCTTCTGCTATCAGACACAATAAATAGAAGGAAGAAAAACAGAGAGGGCAGTTAACACTTGATCAAGACTCGCATAGTTTACATTTACTAGCCTTTTTTAGCTCTTAGTTTTTAGTCTGTAATTTTCAAACACTTCAATAAAATTACACATTTGCTCTATCAAATCCTACTATCTTTTTACATCCGAGCGAACTGTGGTAAGAAAACTTGAGACCCTTTCGTTATCTATTGAGACCCAACGTCTCTGGCATGTCTGGTATTTGTTGTTTAACCACGAACACTATCTAATCAGAAGTATCTCTTTATTAATCTTTGGAGTTTTTGAATAGCCAAGGTTTAAGGTTTAATGTAACATAATTGTCAAAGCAAAAAAAAAAAAAAAAAAAAGAGAGCACTCCAGCACGCGGATCCACTCCATTAGCCTTATTAACTAAATATTAAAAAAAAAAGGACTGTAGCAAAAATCCTTATAAATGGGGAAAAAAAAAATACTAATCGTCTCCTTTGTTGAGGCAGAAAATCATAGATATGCGAAGGACATTAAACCAAGATTCGAACACCCTAAGGCTATCAAACAAGGACGTCATCGTGTTGGAGGTGTAGGAGGGGATGAATGCAACAACATCGAATACCCTGCACCAGATCCAAACTCCCCTATGCAGCAAAGTTTCGAGGACTTCCATCGTTGCCGCGTCGTCGCTGACTCACTATTCAAGTTGTGTCACTGTCGTTGCTAAGCCAATCCTGGAAATTTGATGGTGGTTCGACTTTGAAGGTTGAAGCTTGACGGCAGCTCAATTGAAGAGGGCAAATTGGGAGGAACATGGAAAAAAATCAGATTAAGGGTGAGATTTGTCTAAATATGGAATATATCTAGTTGTACTTTGATTAATATGAAATTGGGCAGCCCTCCCTTGCCTACCATTATTATTTTTATTATCATGATTTATTGTTTTTATCGTCAGCTGATGCTGCTTAGCCAGAAACAAATTGGAATTGGGTGGAAATTTTATTTAATACAACTATCAAGTAATATTGGATATGATTGAAGCTTTATTAAATTCAATTGATAGCAACTAGAGATGTAATTTGTTTTTCGTTTTTTTTTATAATATTCGAACTCTTACTTTGCTTATCACTTTCACTAAACCTGACAGCCATAAGTAAAATCAGGTGGAATTAGATTTTTCCCTGGAAATACTCCTGGGCATACTTTTACAAGTTCTAAAGAGGGGTTAAATAATACCTTTTCTCTTGAACTATTTTATGACAACACTAATTATTTAAACTACCTTCATATTACAAAATAGAGCATCTTTTAGAAGTTTTAATTAATTCAAAATAGTTAATAAGTGGCTTTTATAATTATTTTTTAATTATATCCTTACTTCATGTATTACTTTTTTTTTTCTTTTTTTTTTGAAAAAGTAATGTATCAAAATTTCAATAATCATTGTTAAGAGATTTTGGTTTGCTTAACTTTTATTGAGAATCGTAAAAGTGATTACTAATGCTTTATATTAAGATCTGAAGAGAATATTTATTAGAGCAATGTCATCGTTCAAATGTTAAAATTCATGGAAGACGTTGATCATTAACCTTAGATTGACTAAGTTAAAAGAGCATTTTCACACTTAAATTTATAGAGGAGCAAATGACATTCTACATTTTAATAATGTGAAAGTACTTAGTTGTTTTTTCCATTGAATAATGTGGCATTGTATTTAAGGCATTGCTTGGCTTGCCAATTAAATATTCATCAATAAAAAGTGCCAATCCATATTAATGATTAACAAATGGTACTGTCCATATTATATATACATATACACACACACACTTGTCAGTAAAAGAGATATATTACTTCCTCCAATTTTATTTATAAAACATATTCTAAAAAATTTATTTAATCTCATTTATAAGTCAAGTTATAACTTTTTAAATAATATTTATAAAGTATTTTCTAAATTATCTTTTATAAGAGATAAAAAATAATATAACATCACTTTTTAAATTTGTTATATAAAACATATTTGAAATTTTACACTCTTATTCTTTTTACTTTTTTGCATTAGTATTAATGATGTTGATAAAAATAAATTATAAAGAGGATGAGAATAGTAGTCTTGTAGACTACAGTTAGCTAGGTTAGACATATTATATGTGATAGCACCGATATGTTAGTAGTTATTGTAGGTCGACAAGCACTTTTTCTCATTGATGGATGTTTAGTTCGCAAGTCAAATGACATCTATTCCTTTCTCCTATTTTTTTAGCCAAAACATGCCTGTTATGTTTTGATGATGACAATTAATGTAGACAGAGATTTTTTTCTTTTTAAGTCAATGAGTGCCGAGTTAACAAGTTAAGATAGACACAATTTGTGATAACATTATTAGTTAACCGAATGCCTATGTTCAGAACTATTGTAAATTAGGACATTATCTGAAATTAATGAGATTAACCCTATAAAGAATAACCCAACAGAGCTAGCTACGAATTTTGCTTCAATAATTTTTCCCAATGTAAAGAGTTTAGCGATCAGGCTCAACGAAGAGCAAGAGAACAGACAATATGTCAATATGCATAACTCAAACAATTTAACTTCAGATATATGGTCCGAAATGACCAACAGGCATATGAAAGAATTTATGTCTCTATCTTCAGAAGAGAATTGAGGGAAGTGCTATTAAACCGTTGAGCGAATCCTCGAATCACAAGAACAATGACATCTCGAAGGTGTCGGGAGTGCACCATCAAGTTCGCTTCATTCTCACTATCCACGACAATCCTAAGTCGGTGTTGATCATTCCTAAAGAGCTCCACCTGTTACATATTTGCGCGAACCAGTAAGCAAGACTACACTTTTGATACAGCCAAGCAGTGCAAAGAGCCCCAAAAGGGGGGGAAAAAAAGTATCAAAGTGAATCTATCAGTGTAAATTTCAATGCTTATCTCGATAAATTTGTGCTCTGTTAGCTTAATTTACCACCGACTGATAAATAATCCATCGTTGACATTTCTTGCTATAATCTGGCAATAAAACAAGGGATGTGGCTAGATGGAGTAAATATCAGGTTACATTTGTTAGGTTAAGAAATTGTTAGAAGCATTAGAAGTGTTAAAATTGTAAATGGTGTAATTTAGAAATTTCTAATTTCAGTAGATTTAATCCCATCATTCAGGAGTTTGGGATGACTTGCAACACTGTGGATCACTCTCTTTTATCATCACCCATCATCCGATCATTGCATTTATTTGGTTGTTTGTGGACGACATAGTCATTACGACAATAATCAGGACAATATCTCTGAACCTGAACACAAATTAGTAACTTCTTTTTGAACAGGATTTGGACAAGCTCAAGTACTTCTTAGGTATTAAGGTAGCTCAATCATCCAACTGGATTCTGGTGTTGCTGTCATAGCAAAAGTATGCTCTTGATATTTTAAAAGAAAAATGAATGTTAGATTGTAGACCGGTTGATACTCCTATAGATGCAAATGCCAAACTTCTACCAAGAAAGGGAGGAACCACTTGCAAACTCGGGGATACCACACTCTCACTCATCCTGATACCTCATTTCTTGTAAGCATATAAGTCAATTCTTGGAATCTCCATATGACAGTCATTGGGAAGTTGCAGTTTGCATTCTTAGATACATCAAGGGATCTCCAGGTCAAGGACTGTTATATAGTGATAATGGAAACTCTCAAATAATTGGCTATGGTTATGGTGATAAGGATGATGCTCAGGACAATAACCAAACTGTTGGGCCTATGCGGATTGGGTTGGATGTCCAATTGATTGACACTACCTTAGGATATTGTGTTTATTGGTAGAAACTTGATTTCCTGAAAAAGAAAGAAGCAAAAGGTAGTTGCAAGTATAGTGCTGATGCAGAATATCTTGCCATGGTTTTCGTAAACATGTGAGGTTATCTAGTTAAAGCAGCTTCTTCAAGAATTGAAGTGCGAGAAAGTTACTAGAATGGATTTAATCTATGACAATGGGAAGACCAAACACAATGAAACAAATTATGATTTTGTGCCAGAGAAGATTCAATCTGGTTGTCTTGCTACCAAATATATCAACTCAAATGATCAAACTAGTAGACATACTCACCAAGGCTCTCTGAGGTCCTCAAATAAAGTACATTTGTAACAAGCTTAGTACATACAATCTATATGCTCTAGCTTGAGGGGGAGTGTTGAGAATCAAAAGAAATATTATATTTATTGTATATGATTGGGGAGGAAATTGTAATTATCACACATTATTTTTAATTATTGCATATACATTATAAATAAGACGGACTATAGATCAGTACTATGCTGACTACTTTTCCCAAATCTCTAATATTTTTCCACTACGGACAGAGATTGTGAAGAGAGGACATCTACCTATGACTCATGTTCTGATTTGACAGAAAAATTCAGGTCCAGATAATGCTACATGGGAGGACCTTCCTTGGATCAAGCAACAATTCTCTACTTTTTCTAATCTTAATTTGTGTGTTTTTAGTTAGTTACAGGCTTACAGCATAGGGAAGGGTATATACTCCCATCAATTTTTGTATTTCCTTTTTTGGCAAACCAATACTACTTCTCTTTACGTTTTCCGCACAACACTCATTCTATAGCTACCTGCTAGAGAAATTTCCAATGTAGATAATAGAGAAACAGATTTCTGAGCCACCCAAACTTACATGAAAAGGAGGAGCATAACTCCCACGAATTTCTGTGGTAGGAAAAGAAGTCTTGGAGGCTGGCTTTACTACCTTGACCCTTTTCCTGTTAATCTCTAAGATTCGCCTCTCAAGACTTCCCACAGTAGGAATCTGTAGGAATAGCAACACCACAATTAGGATTTCCAGCTTCTCAATCATTTCAAAGTAAATATAGTCTTAATTGTGAAGGCAAGTGACAGAGAGACAATATCTAGACCTTTTTTGGAGTTCGGTCTTTGTCACACAATACCTGTCAAGAAAAGCTAACAGGTCATAAAGAAAGAAATGCATGAAATCAAGCAAACCAAGGACAATAAAGCTATCAAGTTTCAAAGTTCAAATCTTTTAGTTAGATTATAAGTTGAAACTAGACTTCACACCTGAGAATTCATGGAAAATCTGCTCAATATTAAAAAAAAAAAAAAACTACAAAACTTCAGCCAAGTTTAGATTCATGGCTCATACTTGCGTTACTCATCCATCCCCCACTTGTTTAAGTGTTTGAAGTTTGTGCCATTTATATACTACCATAAATAAACATATATTGACTAGTAAAATCTGCTTTCACAATTTAGAAATATATTATGACTTCAACATTAGGTTCTCTAATAATAACATGACAATATAACTGTTATACTTGCACCACTTACTCATTATCTTCTTTAACTGTTTAAGGTTTGTATTCTTTAACTGTTCAAGGTTTGTACCAGTTATGTATTTCCCATAATCAAGCACATACCATCAAATCCGGTTAGCTATCCTATCTGTGCTTGTATGAGATCAAGTGATCCAGTTTAGGCTATTAGGTAAATAAAAAGCAGGTCAGTTTTCAAGCGCAGAGATAGCAGGGTCAAAAGGCTCAAGGAGAGAACTGCTAGTGTCTATTGGATCTCTTAAATATGGTAGACAAGAATAATCACAACACGTTTTCATGTGGAGAAAATTTAGATACGATTTTGATTTCTTATTATGTAATGAAAACTTGATGAATTCCACCCGGCTCTGCACCACATGATTGAGTCTTTCAAAAGGATTTCATGTAGCCATTCTTTTATCAGAGATCCTGGTAGCAAAAATCTAAGAAATTTTACCTGATCTAATCTTTCCAAAATACAGTAACAATATCAAAACCAAAATGGAGATATATCTCACCTCAAACTTCACTGATCCGAGGTCAAGCTTCTGCTTTACTTCTCTAAGAATATCAGGCTCTGCAAAGGAAATTCATGTACTGCATGAAAACTCCCTCAGAATTCAAAGCAAGTGATTGCCTCCGCAAACCCAAAGCAGATAGAATGATGAGAAGAAAAGCATGTGAATAAAAGAACAACATTGCTCCATTATAAATTTTGACTACAACTGTAAAAGGATTATCACACAAGAGACTTGCATTTACTTGATCATACATTTTGAATGTAAAGATCTTTTTTCTTTGTTTCTTCTTTCTTTTCTTTTCTTTTTGGCAGGGGACTGGTTATCTGGTACTGCCATATAGATTGACAAACTTGCAAATAACATTTAAAACCATCATAGTGATTACATGCAGGAAATAAATGTGTTATGCTCATGTCGCCTTTATTAAACTGTCCTATATCCAAAATGGATTTTCAACTTACCAACTGTAATTGATTCTGTTGATGCAGAAATTGGCTGCCCCTCTACTCCATCTTCTCTTAGAGGAGTATAGATGGCCACCAACCTATAGCCAACATCATCAACATTTGCTTCATACATTCTTCCAGTTTCTCCTGGAATATAAAAATTTGGGAGAAAAAGTTGTTGGACTACAGAAGATATACCGAACAAGTGACACAAGCAAAAGGGCAAGAAATGGATTTACAGAGTAGCAGAAAAACAAAGAACAAGTTACGCAACTAGTGGGATTTATTTCTGTTGTAAAAGAGACTATTTCAATCAAGTATTGACTTCCTACTTTCAAAAAGAAAAAATGGCCTTTGCCAATCATCTTCTGGGCCCTTCTTGTTTCAACATAAATATAGCATCATACATGAAAATAAAAAAGGAAATAAGTTTTGTTACCCATCAGTATTTTCTGTAACAACTGAATGTCATGACAATAGGATATATCAACCTTGTTTAGTCAAAAGTAGGATATATCTATATAATAAAGATAGCACGTTGCAAGGAAATAAGAAAGGAAACAAATAAGTTGATTATTATGGGAGCTCACAATGAGCCTATAATCGTGGGATGCCAAGTTGAGTATAGCTTGGAGATAACATTGTCAATTTTCTTCCTGTTAGCATATATGGCCTTTTGTCATCTTCGCTTCACTAAGTTGCAAGGGTCTTGATTTTGGGCATCCACTCCTTGGCCTTTTTTGCAGGTAGAGATCTTGGCTTTGCTTCTTCCTTCACTTGCAGCCAGAGTTTTAATTTTGGACACACTTTAACTTGCTGTGGGAGGCACCGGTAAAAAAAATGAAATGGATAATCTTAAACTTTGTAAATAAGCGCAAAGAAAGATCAAAGAGAACGCTCAAGAAAGTTGCTGAATGAGACCTCATAGTTAACAATATTCCAAAAAGCTTGGTTAATGAGGGAGTACAATGACATCATGCAATACATGTAGCCGAACCCACCCACTAAGATAAGGTGGTGGTTGTTTTTGTATTGTCCCTAATGTGTAGCTTTTATTAGTATTTATTATACTTTATTAGTAATTATTCCCCTCTTGTACATATAATCAATATGTACCCTAGCATTATTATCAACAACAACAATAACAAGCTTTTATCCCACTAGGTGAGGTCGGCTACATAGATTGTAAGATGTCATTGTGCTTTATCATTTACTAAACTTTTAGGAATATTATTAATTAAGAGATCGCGTTCAACAACTTCCAAGAATGTTCTCTTAAGCCTTCCTCTACCCCTCTTAACAGGGCTCAAAGTTGTATGTTCTACTCTTTTGACTGGTGCCTCCTGCAGTCTTTTTTTGTACATGCTCAAACCATCTCAAACGATTTTCTACCATTTTTTTCTCAATAGGTGCTACCCTCACTTTTTTATGTATGTGCTCATTTTGAATTTTATCTTTACATAAATGTCCGCACATCTATCGTAACATTTTCATCTCTGCTACTCCAACTTTATACTCTTGCTATCCCGTTAGAGCCCAACATTCACTACTATATAACATAGTTAGTCTGATAGCAATACGATAAAACTTTCCTTTAAGTTTATCAGGCATCTTATGGTCGCAAATAACTCCTTTTGCTTTTCTCTAATTAAACCACCCAGTTTAAATCCTGTGTGAAATATCCCCACTAATTTCACCATCATTTTAAATAATGGCTCCCAAATATCTAAACTTTTTAACTTAAGGTATAATTTGATCTCCCAAATTCACTTCCAAATTACTGTTGACTAATCTCTTACCAAATTTACAATATAAATATTCCGTCTTACTCCTACTCAGACGAAAACCTTTCGACTCCCATGTCCTCCTCCATAACTCAAGTTTACAATTAATCTCCTCTTGTCTCTGCTATAAGAACTATATCATCCGCGAAGACATTCATTTGAGGATTTTCCCTTGAATATGTTCCGTCAAAACATTTAGGATCAAATTAAACAGATAAGGATTTAAAGATAATCCCTGATATAGTCCAACCTTTATAGGAAAGCTCTTTGTTTGACCACTAGAAATTCTTATGCTAGTTTTTATCTTCTCATACATATCTTGCATAACTTTAATATAAGCAACCTGTACTTCTTTCTTTTCCAAGGCTTTCCAAAGCACTTTTATTAGTATACAATCATAAACTTTTTCTAAATCAAGAAAAACCATGTGTAAATCTTTATCTTCACAACGATACTTTTCTATTAATCCCTTAAGTAGATAAATCGCCTTTGTAATCGATTTACCTGGCATAAAACCAAACTGATTCTCAAAAATATGTCTCCAATCTCAACCTATGCTCAATTACTTTCTCCCATAATTTCATTGTGTGGCTCATGAGTTTAATCTCTCTATAGTTAGTACAATTCTGAATATTCCCTTTATTTTTATAAATAGGAATTAATGTACTTCTCCAGTCGTCAGGCATTTTCTTGGACTGTAAAATTACATTAAATAACTTAATTAACCATCTCAGCTATTCTTCACCTAAATATTTTTACACTTCAATAGATATGCAATTAGGTCCGTTAGCCCTACCATTTGCCATTTTCTTAAGAGCTTCCTCTACCTCCTTGTCACGTATTATTTGATAGAATGACAAATTTTGTTCTCCTTCATGAGTTACTAAATCCTCCAAGTTACTAGACAAACCCTCTCCATCATTGAAAAGTTTGGAAAAGCAAGTCTTCCATCTGTTTTTAATTTCATCATCTGTAACTAAAATTCTTTCCTCATCATCCTTTATACACCTTACCTGTTCTAAATCTCGTGATTTTCTTTCCTTACTCTTAGCAATCTTATAAATGTTTCATTCTCCTTCCTTTGTCTCAAGGCTCTTATAAAATTTTTCAAAAACTTTAGAACGAGCTTCACTCACAGCTCTCTTAGTTTCCTTCTTAGCCATATGATACCTTTCCCAATTTTTCTCATTATTACACAAATGTATGGCTTTAAAACAATTCTTCTTATGTTTGATTTTGTCTTGTACACTATTATTCTACCACCAAGACTTTTTATCTCTTGGACCAAAACCTTTTGATTCTCCCAAAACTACTTTTGCAACCTCCCTTATCTTTTTAGCTATATCCTCCCACAAGATGTTAGCACTTCTTTGAGATTCTCAAATTCCTTTATCCAAAAGATTCCACTTGAAAATATCTTGTTTCTCACCTTTTAATTACCACCACCTAATCCTTGGTGTTACTACTTGTCGACGTTTTTGAGTTTTTGAGTTTCACTTATCGCTGTATTCAAGCCATGCAGCATGTTATTTGCAGACAACGACCTAGCATTAGCATTATAACGTCTATTGTCCATGTTCATGATATATTTAACAAAGTTTTATGTTGGCTGTTGATGGCCTAACACAACCCTCCTCCTTTGCCTGGGCTTGGGACTGGCTATAAACATGGGCGGAGTTCCTAGCATTATTATTAATGAAAAATATTCTTCTCTCAAATTCCACATCTTTTTGATAACCACTATCCATCCCACCCCTTAGGAGTTTGTTTTTTTCCCTTATTTTATGTTAACCACCAATACATGTTTTTTTGTTACATTTCCCCCTTCTTTTAAACATTGAACCATAAACATGTTCTTCATTTTTTCAAACTTCATCTATGGTCTTCTATTTAACAAATAGACACTATAGATCATTAAAGGTAGCTAAATCAACTAGTTATGGGCAAGCAACAATGGAGGATGGCATGTCATGTGCTTTCATGCCTTGGCAAGTGACATGATGCAAAGAACAATAAAGGACATCAGCAAGTGCAATGGTGAATGATGGTTGGACTTCATGATGTGGTTGACTAGGAACTTCTAAACACAGTGAAGGGGTCACGTAACTCACTTCATATTGTCCATGGAAGTAAAATACAAAGTCTTACTTTTGAGTGTTCGAGAAGATATTGTTTTTGTTGGTATGTTCAACAACTTCATGAGAGTTATTCCTTCTCAATGTAGACCGTCATAACTTGGCCAAGTTAGGCTGAACAAAGAAGACAAGCTATAAAGGAAATAGTTGAGTTTAGAAATCAGTCAAACAATCTGATAGAGCCCCCTGTCATTTTACTAAGAAATATCAAAGGAAGTCAAAGGGGAAGAATGACTCTAGTAGAAAGATGTTGACTGGTCTAGAGGCTTATCCTTCGGTCTCTAGCCGTAAGGAACCATAACTTGTGATCTTTTGCAATGATTAAGATCTTTTGGGGAGTATGGGCCATGGGGAAAGCCATGCTGTGTTGTATTAAGGGGAATATGTCTTTTGTGAGAGAATTGTGAGGAAAGACTGGCCTCTCGAATGCCAGAAAGAGTGCACCCTCTTTGTGAGGTTTGAACTTGTAATGTTGTTACTTTTGTGATCATTCAAGGGAGATAGGGTTTTGGCCAAAATCAAAGGAAGTCTTATAACTCTGATTTGGTTTCTCTCATTTTATTAATATCAAAAACCTCAGCAATTTCTCCTCATTTATTGTTATTACTGTCTTTTGTTGCTGTTTCGGTGGTGACACTGGTTTGGGTCTTATTAATTGGTACCAGAGCAGTACGAATTCTGAGTAGTTAAAGAGAAGTTATGGTGGAGGAAGTGCAGTATTCTGAGCGAGAAGTACAAAAGTTGAAGGAGACAATTGAGGGATTGAATAGGGATGTAAGTGACATTAAGGGAACCTTGAAGACTATTAGTGAAACTCTGGCACAACTAGAAACGAAGGTGGTAGGGCCACGTGAGGAAGAACAGGAAGGCACTCATTATGCAGAAACTTTTGAGAATAATATAGGGGTGAGACAGAAGGAGGCAAGTTTCAAAAATTGGAACTACCTGTATTCTTAGGCGAGGATCCTCTCGGGTGGCTTTTCAAAGTAGAATGGTATTTTCATGTTAACTCCATAGCTGAACATGAGAAGCTCAAAGCAACAGTAGTATGTCTGGAGGGTAAAGCAGTGAACTAGTACCAATGGCTTGATACACAAGTACCATTGAGTCACTGGTCAGAATTTAAAAGGGAGTTGCTGTGGCAGTTCCACTCTTCACAACCCGATGGTGAGTATGAATGATTATTTATAGCCAAGCAAGAGAAGTCTATGCTAGAATTTGTACAGGAATTCAAACTATTGTTGGCGCCATTAAAGGAAGCTTCCGAGGAGTGCTTGATCAGTGCATTCAGAATTAAGCTAGGGGAGCAGCCATCAAATATTAGGCCTTACCGATACCCTCATTTGCACAAGAATGAAATAGAAAACTTGGTGAAAGATATGTTGAAGTGAGGAATTATTCAACCAAGTACTAGTCCTTACTCAAGCCCAGTATTGTTAGTTAAGAAGAAAGACGGAAGCTGGAGGTTCTGTGTTGATTTTAGAGCCTTAAATAAAATTACTGTTCCAGATAAGTTTCCAATTCCAACCATTGATGAGTTGTTAGATGAATTGAAGGGAGCTACAATTTTTTCCAAGCTGGATTTGAAGTCTGGATACCACCAAATTCGAATCAAGACTAGGAATGAGCATAAAACAGCATTCCGAACACACAAGGGGCACTGTGAATTTAAGGTGATGCCTTTCGGATTAACTAATGCTCCTTCCACTTTTTAGTCATTGATGAATGAGGTATTTAGAGAATACTTACGCAAGTTCATGCTGGTGTTTTTTGATGACATTCTCATATATAGCAATGGCCTAACATCACATTTGAAGTATTTGCAGATTGTATTTTCTATTTTGGAAGAAAACCAGCTTGTTATTAATTTAAAGAAATGCAGTTTTGTGCAACCAAAGATTGAATATTTAGGTCATCTAATATCAAATGAAGGGGTGCAAGCCAATCCAAGTAAGATAGAAAGCATGGTGAAGTGGCCTAAGCCTAAGAAGGTAAAATCCTTAAGGGGATTCCTAGGGCTGACTGGATACTATTGTCAATTTGTCAAGAATTATAGGAAGATTGCTAGTCCTCTCATTGATTTACTCAAGAAGGATTCTTTTAAGTGGTCCCTAAAAGTAGAAAAAGCTTTTGATCAACTCAAAACAACCATGATTGGATACTATTGTTTTTGTTGGTATGTTCAACAACTTCATGAGAGTTATTCTTTCTCAATGTAGACGGTCATAACTTGGCCAACTTAGGCTGAACAAAGAAGACAAGCTATAAAGGAAATAGTTGAGTTTAGAAATCAGTCAAACAATCTGATAGAGCCCCCTGTTATTTTACTTAGACATATCAAAGGAAGTCAAAGGGGAAGAATGACTCTAATAGAAACATGTTGACTGGTCCAGAGGCTTATCCTTCGGTCTCTAGCCGTAAGGAACAGTAACCTATGATCTTTTGCCATGATTAAGATCTTTTGGAAAGTATGGGCTATAGGGAAAGCCATGTTGTGTGTTATATTAATCTTTTTGCTTGTATTGAGGGGATATGTCTTTTGTGAGAGCATTGTGAGGAGAGACTGGCCTCTCGAATGCTAGAAGGAGTGAACCCTCTTTGTGAGGTTTGAACTTGTAATGTTGTTACTTTTGTGATCATTCAGGGGAGATAGGGTTTTAGCTAGAATCAGAGGAAGTCTTGTAACTCTGATTCAGTTTCTCATTTTATTAATATCAAAAAGCTCAGCAATTTCCCCTCATTTATTGTTATTACTATCTTTTGTTGCTGTTTCTGTGGTGATACTGGTTTGGGTCCTATTACAATCTTATAAATCAAGGAGGAAAACAAGGGGCAAAAAAATAAAATAAAATAAAATAAAAAGATATACCCAGGTGATAAACAAGGGACAATCACAAAACGAATAACCATAATTTAAAAAAAAAAAAAGAATGAGCTCATAATCAAAAGATTCCAGTAGTCCTTATCATTCTGTATCTTAAACTGAATTACAATACTTTTTAATAACTCAATCAAAAGATTCCAGTAGTCCTTATCATTCTGTATCTTAAACTGAATTACAATACTTTTTAATAACTCAACAATAAATACATAAGAGATTTTAGGATCAGCTTACCTGGTATAGAGATCAGGTCAGGACTTCCAACCATTGATCTAAGCCACTGGATCCTACTTTTGCCTTCCTTACCTCCACTATAAATGCCACGGACAGCATATAAATTGGTATGAAATCCCCTCCCCTCAATCTCCAGCTTGTCAATTTTAGGAATGCCTAAGCATTAAAAATAGCACTCATATAAAAGCAGAAAATAAAACAGATAGCAGGACAAAGACAAGTGAGGCAGAACCAACATAAATAGCTTTGCTTTGGTACCTTTGTGTTTTTCATTACAGAGCAACACAACTACCAATAAGTAAAAAGCAAATGACGGGGGTATTTGTTTAAAACATTGATTGTGGTTGATCAGGAACATCAATCATGATATTATTTGGACATGAGGATTGTTATTTCCCTGTTCCTGGGATTCAGCTCTCTGATTGTAATCCAAAACAACATAACATTGATCCTCCTTGAAACCACTTCTTTCTCATTATAGCCATCTCATGCTGAAGCAAGAAGACCTAACCTAACCAACTTAAACATTTTTACTTGAGAACACAAAATTGGCTACAATTACAAAGGGAGAATACTTATGAAATAAAAAACAATTACCTGGCAATACAGGTGATGTCTCTACGTACACTGCCTCAGTTGATCTTCCAAACACATCAGTCACAATGCATTCACATTTCAATCGACAACCAATGTCCTCTAGACGCACCTTGTAGGAGCAAGAACACTGTGCGGGTAATGGGTCATATGACAATCTGTCTCCCATTTCTGATGAAAGAAACCTACAAAAAAATATTCATTGATACATGGGAGATGAACAACTTTGATTTGGATCTCAGGATCTTCTCCAAGGGAAAAAAGCAGCAAGTATGAAAATATATTTACCCAGTGGAAAGTTTTACAAGTAATACAACAAGAAGCCTTATTCCATTAGATGGAGATGACTATATGGAGTGCACAATGCCATTATATTTTATCATAATAATGATGAAGAAAATTTACCCACAAGATGAGAATTGTATGAAAAATCAAAACTATTAGTCCAATATATAAGTTTACAACAACAACAACAACAACAACAACAACAACAAGAAGAAGCCTTGTCTCACTAGGTGGGGTTGGCTACATGAATTCCAATATACAAGTTTACTAAACTACTTAAATTAAAATAAACTTCCTAGTGTGGTCTCTTGACTGTTGAGAGAATTGCCGAAATACATGGAAACTGGGATGTTACTAAGATTAAAAGCATGCAGAATAAATGCAATACATAACACTATACCATTGATAGTTTATGTCTTTTATGTACTTGCTCCAAACTTGTTGCTGGACTTCCCCTTTTGGAATCACTTCAACAGCTGTTAGTATATCACCTTCAACTGCTTTTCCAGTAAGAGCAAGAACCTCTACAGTTGGAAGCTCTATATGACAATGCAAAATCCACATTTAAAACTCATTTTCAAGGTTCATCAACTGAATTGACATATAATTGTTCCAAGAAAAACAAATCTTATTTCAAATATGGATGCAACTCAAGAAAAGTACAGCCACCCACAAACATTGTTACCTGGGAGAATAATATCAGTAGGATCAGACAATCGAAGTTCTCCCACAACAGAATCTGATCGAACTGGCATGTATCTGGGGGGGAAAAAAAGACATCTTAAGCTGACATGGTTTGAAAGATAAAATACTTTATCTGGTGGTTATTGAAGCTTAATCCCAAGAGTTACTTGTTTTTAAATTGTATTTTCCATTATTTTTATTTGATTCTAGCCAATGTGTAGTCAACAATAGATTTTATCGTTAAGTATTTTGTCATGTATTGTAGAATATGTTCGTTTTTGGTCCTGCATTAAGGCCAAGGATCTCGTTCCTTTCCATGAGATCCCTTTTTGCTGCAGATATATCCTCTGCCTTGTACAATTCAAATTATAGGAGAATGAAATTACCAGTTGCTCACACTAATTTGCCGTGTTTTAAGCTGCATACTATATTTTATAAGGTTAAAAGTTATTCATATTTTTAAGGGAAATTGGGGTTGATGTGTGATAACCTAGGGTTCTTCTGTAAAAGAGCTGCGTGACTAAGCTCTGATAATTTCAGCACCCTTCAAGTCTACTCCATCTCCATCTTCTATTTCTTCATCACCACAAGTCACATCATATATGTAGGGCAGATAAATTATTTGGTAACACTTATGGTAAGTGTGTAAGAGAAAACTTAGCTCTAATACCAACTGTTGGATTGAGCACTTATCATTAGGCAAAAAATCTATAATTTGTCTATTACGGTGCAACTCTTTCTACTTAACTGCAATGAGTCCAAGAGGCACATATTGATGATGGATTGGCCTCACGCCTGAGGCACTACCATGGGACAATCACCATTATACCCTAAACAACTGTAGGTTGATCTCTTTGAAATGGCTTTCCTGCACAAGTACATAAACAACCTAGCTTGTCCAAATATTTGACATATCTCATTCATCTTAAAAAGCTAGCAATTTCTTTCCCCTTTTAATAACCAATTTTAAAAAATACAAAGTTTCAAGCCATAGAGACATCCAAAGAAAGTTTAACAAACTCTTGAGCTTATTATATATTGTAGAGAATATGAGAATTCAACGTAAATGTTTTTTTTTTTGGGTACCTTAGAGTGGTTGGGGGGATTTGTCATTATTTTAGATAATTATTGTTGATTATTGTTGCTGATTCCTCGCTTGGGTCTCACAGTATGAAGCTGACCCTTTGTATCTGGATTATTGAAAATCAAGAATTCCCACATGGTTTTAGAGGCATGTGAAGAACAAACCTAAAAAGAAAATCAGATTTGTGGCTTCGATACCATATGGAATTGAGAGAGATTTGAAAAGTAGAAAGTGAATATACTAAGCTATAGTCTGTCTCGCTTATAATCATATATACAAGACAAAGGAATAATGAGTAATAATTACAAAAGAAACATATTGATCAGCCTAATCATAACCTAGTCAGCTCTAATATCATACAATAAATACAATATCTATTTTGATTCTCAACAAACATGAACGGAAGAAACATGTGGAGGTGGATAGATATTTTATTAGAGAAAAAGTGGAGGAAGGAATCATATATTGAACATATATTTCTATAAAACCCCAAGCTGCAAATGTGTTGACCAAGGGATTACATGGACTTGCATTTGAGGATTATATACAAAGTTGGACATAATTAGCATCTATAATCCAACTTGAGGAAGAGTATGGATGACCGATTTACATATAATGTAAATAGGAAAGTTTTTATTTCATATTATTTCTTAATATAGGAGAGAATATCATGTAGCCATGTAGTTGACTTTACTCAGTGGGATAAGGCTTGTTGTTGTCGTTGTACAGGAGAGAATATCATGGGCAAATTGATTGGGTATCAAAGCTTATTATTTTTTCCTGATTCTTTTCCTATTTTTGAGGGATTAATCTCCTCGTGCTGCTGTACCATTCATTGTGAATAAGATGCTTGCAACGGCTTCAGTTCTACACTGTTTGATCAGGAAGGTGAGTTCAAGTCCACTTGATGCCCAAATAGTGGTGGGTTTGAAATTGGATGGCACTATTTTCCAACTTACTGATAAAAAAATTCATTGAAAGAATCCCTGAGGATACCAGGTCACAAATAAGAGCACCAAGACTACTACCAGGGGTGATGATTGATTGGGTCAGGTTTTAGAAATGCTCTTTGCACAGTAATCTTCTGGTTAGTCACAGAAAAACACTTCTACTTCTTTGACTAAAAGAGGTAATTGATGGAGAGCACAATTTTACAACGGTGAATTAGGGTATATCTAGCATTTAATGATTTCTATTTAATGAGCCTTGTATTGGCCATATCAGAATAAAATCAACAGTTATTATTGTTCATTTATCTCCATGAATTTAGGAAGATTCTAGGGAGTAGCAGACTTGTGGCTAAACCTAGCTTCTACCTATATGCACCCTAGAAATAAACAAGTAATGTCAACTGTCTCTACCTCCAAAATCTTCAGTAACTTATCACATTCTCTTAAAGACTAACTGTACCAAAACCTCTCAGATCATTAGGCCTCCGACCATATGATTGGCTTGTATCATTTGTTTACATACCCTTTGTTCTAAAGCTACTCCCTCTGTCACAAATTATAAGACAATTTAAGACAAGATTATGCATACCAATAAAGCTCAATAACAATATTTTACAAACTTACTTTTTCACAACAAAACTATAAATTTTAAAAAATGCCCCTACACACTTAATCATTACACTACAATATTATTTCAATTCTCTCTCCACTTGAAGAGTAACATTGGAAAAGCATCATTAATGAGATCTTTTTTTTTTTAAATTGTCTTATATTTTGAGACAACAAAATAACTCTAAAGTTTTCTCATAATTTGGGATGGAGGTAGTATCATTTTAAAATATCTTCTTCATGTTCCTAAATTTACCTACAACCTTATTTCAATGAGTCAATTGACTAAAGATTTTAATTGCTTTGCTAAATTTCATCCTTCATACTGCACTTTCAATGAGCCTTGTATTGCTTTGCTAAAGATTTTAATTGTTTTATGCCAGGTAGATCAACAACAGAGGCGATTTATCTACTAAGGGGATTAATGGAAAAATATCGTTGTAAAGATAAAGATCTACACATGGTTTTCATTGATTTGAAAAAAGCTTATGACCGTATACCAAGAGAAGTGCTTTGGAAAGCGTTAGAAAAAAAGGGAGTACAGATTGCTTATATTAAAGCCATACAAGATATGTATGAGGGGGTAAAAACTAGTATAAGAACGCCTAGTGGTCAAACAAAGGATTTTCCTATAAAGATTGGACTACATCAGGGATCATCTCTGAGTCCTTATCTATTCAATTTGATCTTAAATGTTTTGACGGAACATATTCAAGGGGAAATTCCGAAATATATGCTCTTCGCGGATGATATAGTTCTTATAGCAGATACAAGAGAAGAGGTTAATTGCAAACTTGAGTTATGGAGGAGCACATTAGAGTCGAAAGGTTTTCGTCTGAGTAGAAGTAAGACGGAATATTTATATTGTAAATTTGGTAAAGGACTATTCGACAATAATTTGGAAGTGAAATTGGGAGATCAAATTATACCTCAAGTGGAAAAGTTTAGATATTTGGGAGCCATTATTCAAAATGATGACGAAATCAGTGGAGATATTTCACATAGAATTCAAGCTGGGTGGTTTAATTGGATAAAAGCTAAAGGAGTTATTTGCGATCGTAAGGTGCCTAATAAACTTAAAAGAAAGTTTTATCGCACTGCTATCAGATCGGCAATGTTATATAGTAGTGAATGCTGGGCTCTAACGGGACAACAAGAGCATAAAGTTGGAGTAGCAGAGATGAGAATGTTATAATGGATGTGCGGACATACACGTAAAGATAAAATTCGAAATGAGCACGTACGCGAAAAAGTGAGGGTGGCACCTATTGAGGAAAAAATGGTAGAAAATCGGTTGAGATGGTTTGGGCATGTACAAAGAAGACCAAGAGAGGCACCAGTGAGAAGAGTGGAACATATAACTTTGAGTCCGATTAAGAGAGGTAGAGGAAGGCCTAAGAGAACACTTTTGGAAGTTATTGAACGCGATCTGTTAATTAATAATATTCCTAAAAGCTTGATAAATGATAGAGCACAATGGCGTCTTGCAATCCATGTAGCCGACCCCACCTAGTGGGATAAAGGCTTGTTGTTGTTGTTGTTTATACTGCACTTTCTAGGACTTTTCATTGAAATGAGAATTCTCAATTTTAAAAAGGTCCTTATTACTTTGAGGATGCTAAAATAAGCAGTCCACATTTTAGTATCCCTTGTCACTTGCAATTCTAACTTTCCATGAATGATAACCTAATGTTATGACACTTACGATTAAGTCATGAAGAAATCGGCTGAGCAATTGAATTCTTAGCTTCAATTTTTATTCATAGTATATGTTGATGTATGTAGTAAGAGAATTAGGGCTTGTAGCAACCCAATCAAAGCAAATAACACCAAATTAAAACTAATTAAATCTAAGATCTGATATGATCAATGCACATGTGGGGACTAAAATGAAACTAAAGAGCTAACTAAAATAGCTTTATCATTCTTGATGAAGCTAGACAAATGAACAACTCGTGTAGGAAAATTAACAATTGATGTGTGGAAAATGAACAAATGACATAAATGGAATTTAGAACTCTCGTTAACAACATAACACCACTATAAATATAAACAAGTGAAGTTAGGTGCATGAACAACTCGTATAGAGAAAATAAACAACTGATGTATGGGAAATAAACAACTAATATAGGTGGAATGAGAGTTGCAAATTCATAATGATGTTATGTAGCTTCATGGATCACAAGCGTATATGTTATTTCAATAATAATATGATTATATACAGGTTACAAGGTCAGCTAAATACCGGAAAAATAAAAAATGAATCAGGTCCCCTTATTTTCTCCCATAATCTTGCCTTACTATTCCTATAAATCAGGAGCAAGATAATTCTGAAATAAGTCCTAATTAATTCTATTTCACACTCCCCCTCAAGTTAGATTATATATACTAATCATGTCTAACTTGCTCATACAATTTTCAAAGGCGGGCTT